CTAGTACTTTTGGTAATAACTTTGTGATTAAAGGTTTGGAAGTTAAAATGAATTAAAATTTCACTTGTTGAAATCATGAGTCAATTGAAGCCAGACCACCATGAAAAACCTAGTATGGGACTCCTCAACAGCGCGCATCCATGATACCGCTCCCGGCGAGATTCGAACCCAGTCTCGCTCCAGACGCTAAACCAACCAGACCACTGAGCCGACATATGACGGTGTTAATGTCCAACTTCAACCAATCTACGAATTAAAATTTCTTAAATAGATTAATTATGAAAATTTGTTAATGAAAGTTATAAGGTAATGGTTGAAGGTTGTCGTCAGAAAACCTTGAACTTGGATTTTGTGTTGTTTTAGCGTTTGTCAGTAAAATGTAGCTGTGATCTTGAGGAAACCAACGTTCTCTGGTAGTTTCAATTTCATTTTTATCAATATTTTTAAGTAAGCCCTATATCCTCTTATAGTTGGTTTATGAAAAAACATATATATGTATTTTTGAACCATTAATCGTCCTGGTTAATCTACTCAAAAGTCATGTTATTTAAGAAATAAGTGAACAAAGCCTAAGATGAGGATTGAAAATGATCGAATACTATTTTATCCTGATTGTCTGATTATTACAGTCAGAAATAAAGACAGAGAGTCTGACTAACCACATCTGTATATTAATAATTTCAATCGCTCCTGGTGAGTAAATTATATTACAGATTAAGAAAACAAAAATAAATTAAAAACAATTATAGAATAAGTCGCTGAAATGATAGTTTTATGTGAAAAGCTAATCGACTAAGGTACAAAGTGTCATGATGATACAACTGACGAATGGTACATAATAATCAGTTAGGTAAATAAATAGATAGCTTACTAACAGAATAGACTTCTGAACTTTAGTTCAATGCGTTTACATATATAATATCACTAGTCAAATGACTAAGTATACAATATGAAATAACCAGCTATCATCTTGTAATTATCAGTTGTTTATCGGTTAACAAAAAAATTATTCGCGAATGATAATAAAACGTTTAAAATTTATAGATTGAACTTTTGTTTATTGTTTCATAGGGAAACATGATATTGAATACAGTTAAAACATTATAAAATAGATTTCTTAGCCTTAGTTTAATTATTTTCTCTTCTACCACAGAGATCATATCAAATAATAACCTGACAAGGATAAGATGAAACAAAAAAGTATGTTATAAATCAGAAATATTAAAATTTTTAAGGTCTTTCATAGTATTATTGTCAACAACTACAGAATATTATAGTGTTTATGCTAATTGATCATTTGTTTGTGCATTATTTCGAACTTCTAAAAAAACAGTATATTCAACTGTGCTCACAAAGTTATCTCTGACTTAAATTGAACAATTCTTTTAATTCCTAGTTGGTATCTTGATTCGAATACTTCTGATGATCACACATAGTTAACAAAATATCAACTTTCAGTATGATCGAACACACCTTCAGAAATAAGAAACTGAAGTATCAGTGAAGATGAATTCTGTAAACTATTCATCATTACAGTTATAATAAATTGAGAAGTTGTATACAGTTAATCAATGGAATGAAGTACCTAATCATTTATATAGACGAAAATACAATAGAAATAATTTGTAAGTAAGGGGTTTTGTGGAGATTTTAGTAATTTAAATAATTGAAATCATGAGTCGATTGAAGTTAGATCACCATGCAAAACCTAAAAGTACTGGACGGTCATTTCGTCCGAGTATGAGACTCCTCAGCAATACGCATCCACGATCCCCTCCCCGCGAGATTCGAAACCAAGACCTATCAGTCTCGCGTGCGAGCGCCTAACCAGTAAACCATTGAGCCATTATCCAATGTTACATTTCAAGGTTTTCCATGGTGGTCTAGCTTTCGTGAATTGGTTGAAGTTAGACACTAATACCGTTGGATGCCAGTTCAATGGTCTAATGGTTCAGCGCTCGCGCGCGAATTTGATAGGTCCTGGATTCGAATCTCGCAGGGGCGGTATTGTGGATGCGTACAACTGAGGAGTCTCACAATAGGACAAAACGTCCGTTCAGTGCTTCCAGGTTTTTCATCATGATCTAGTTTTAATCGACTCATGATTTCAACTATTAATAATTTGCAAGTATCAATGTCAAAGTTGAACATTATACTTTTAAATAGATTAAACATTGGATTATTTGTTTACTTTGAAGAAGTGACTTACATAAAGTCACGAAATATCGGAAAAATATTAATTTTCTACTTATTAGGATATGTATGACGAAAATAAATATAGGTCATAAGATTTGATTAGACATAAATAGTGTTCCATTATTTCCTTGATTATATTTTTGTCATGTTAAAACAATTACACTTAAATGTTATGTAAATTTTATGGAATTTTAAGTTAAAAGTTTATATTTGTCTGTAAAATATGATGTCATTAACTTTTATTATCTGGAACAAATAGAAAAAAAGTAATACTCATGTTTAAAAATGATTATATAGAAGATTATGAATCTTTCTACTGATTCCATGGAACTATATAGATAATATAAAAATATTTTGATTAGTTATGTAATTTGAAGGAATTAGTTTAATTTGACAGTAGTTTTTGTCATTAATTGGTATCAAACAATGAAGAATTGTAAAGTATATAGCAATCAATTACTGTTTCACTGTAAGTATGGTTTCTCAACTAGTATGTATTTATAACCTTGTATAAGATTGAACTTTCGAGCATCAAATGTCGCATTGTACAGTGTATTAATAAGATAGTGTCGGAGCATGATGATTTAGATATCCAACATTACTTAATTCACCATTGTCGTTGAATGTTATGGGAACTATTCATATCATTTAGTTTGTCTATAAAACATTTATTGATTAAAATGTTCAAATAACTAGTAATCTCATTACTATTCGTTTGTAAACTAGATAAATGTAAGCCTCAAATCAGTTGATAAATTATAGGGTATTATTACATTTTGTTTAAAGTATATTCAATATTTTGATAATATGAAAACTTATGTCTATACTAGGATTCTATATAGTCAAAATATGTGTAATGCCCGTCAGAGACCACTCCAGTCCAAAATTAGAAAAATTCCTGACTCCATTGATTGTAGATAGAAATTTCACTTCTAGAATATTTAAGGTAAAAATCCTTAAAAAAAAAAATTACAGTCCATGTTATTTATGTTTACAGTTTTTAAAAAAAAATGCTAAGAATAACGTATGACTGTATTTTTTGACATTATACCGGGAAAATTTAATTCCGTGCATACAATTTAATGAAGGTAAAATACCATATATACAGATAGATAGATAGATGGATAGATAGTTAGATAGATGGGTAGATAGATAGATAGATAGATAGATAGATAGATAGATAGATAGATAGATAGATAGATAGATAGATAGATAGATAGATAGATAGATAGATAGATAGATAGATAGATAGATAGATAGATAGATAGATAGATAGATAGATAGATAGATAGATAGATAGATAGATAGATAGATAGATAGATAGATAGATAGATAGATAGATAGATAGATAGATAGATAGATAGATAGATAGATAGATAGATAGATAGATAGATAGATAGATAGATAGATAGATAGATAGATAGATAGATAGATAGATAGATAGATAGATAGATAGATAGATAGATAGATAGATAGATAGATAGATAGATAGATAGATAGATAGATAGATAGATAGATAGATAGATAGATAGATAGATAGATAGATAGATAGATAGATAGATAGATAGATAGATAGATAGATAGATAGATAGATAGATAGATAGATAGATAGATAGATAGATAGATAGATAGATAGATAGATAGATAGATAGATAGATAGATAGATAGATAGATAGATAGATAGATAGATAGATAGATAGATAGATAGATGGATAGATAGATAAATGGGTAGATAGATAGATAGATAGACCGTAGTTTCGTAATATATTCTAATATAACGCTTTTATTTATAAAAAAATAGCCAAGTAAATGGATTTTATTTCTAACATTCATTAAGAAATTCAGTAATGATATTATTTTATTAAGCTTATTGTGTTTTATACACATGAACATACTCAAACCTAAATATGCACACAAAAAATAGGTGGTTTTATTTATACTGCTTTATCATAAACTGGATTTATTCATGTAAATTAAAATTCTAATGATTCATTGAACACATATTGTAGTGTATACTACTGATGTCAACAGCTATAAGTAGTATGTATCAATAATCGAAAGTATAATACCTAGCGGCACAAAATTAAAAAGATTGAAGAAAAGGAAATGAGAACAGGGAATGATTCGTTTGGAAATGAAGGGACAAGGAAATCTGATACGATTGATTGACATTTTGTAAATAAATAATTTTTGTTGTATGGATCTCAGATCTCACAAATTATATATGGTTGTTCTCGTTCACTACAATACTAGTCACTTATAATAACTATTCAATAATGAATAATAGTATATGATTGAATGGTTTATCTTTCAAAATTCTAAATTCAAAATATACTTTTTATTTTAAAATATTATTTAAGAAAAACATTTTTTTTTAGTGAATCCATGGTGAAATAACAACATTTCAATCTGTAAATAAAACTATCTAATTTCATATTATAAGAAATGATCATCCATAGAAGAATACAATTTATATGTCTTTATCAAACTTTCAATGTTAATGAAATATATTAAAAAAGATTAGTTGAATTGCAGTGATTTCAATGATTGATATAAGTATTCAGTGAAACATCATAATAGATTAGGTGTGTAATTTACACTTTCAAAATTTATGAGGATGATGATGATTATTATTATTATTATTGTAATATTAGGCTACACTGTAACACTTATAAAGTAATTCAAATAATCTAATGTATATATTGTTTTTTTTACTATTTATTATTGAACTTTTAATAAATCATATATATATATATATATATATATATATATATATATATATATATATACATATATATGCTTACCTTAGAATTGTTAGGTGATTTATTCGCTGGAGTATTTGGTTCCGGTGAATCACTAACACTAGCAGTATCTGTAGATGAAGATGAATATCTTTTTGATTCAACCATTTTTCTTTTATTGCCTTAACTTTTTTTATTCTTTCTTTTTAGCTAAAAAACATGTAAAACAATGCAAACTTTATCATGAAATGATTGATTGAAATGATTCTGAAAATAAGAATGTATTTAATGCAAATAATAAAAACGAAACTTTCTTCATCTAATAAATATATATCTAAGTGTCTGATATATACCGGTTAAGAAGAAGTATTTTATGCCTAAATCATTATTATATATAGATATTATATGTGATCTGAGTGTAAACATTGTTTATCCATTAGACGACCGGATTATGAATATTGAAATAATGATAGTTTATTAATCATAATAATAATAATAATAATAATAATAATAATAATAATAATAATAATAATAATAATACAGAAACACTTTACTTCAAAATGAGCTTTCCAAATTATCACTAAACATTAGATCGAATTATAATTACACTATTATTTCTCTCAATTTATCTGACCTATATTTATTCGGATTTAGAGATATTAAAACTTCTCACCTAATATATATATATATATATATATATATATATATATATATATATATGCAGATTCAAGTTAACATTCTATATGAATCATATCAATATTATTGTATTTTATTTAACAATTCTAAATTTACATGCTTTAAATGATGTACTTTACTCTTAACCTGACCATTTCTGGAAATTATTAATTTGGGTATGAGATAATTGTAGAACTTAAAAAGAAAATTTTTAAATCATATCAATGTGATAAGTAAGATTAGTTCAGTAAAGTGTTCTCTTTTCAGCAAATTCATTTTCAAAGCTGTACAGTCGCAAATATACATATATATAGTTATTTTTACAGGATGATAATAATACTGATAATAAACTCCTGTTGCAAGATCTCCGTATGACGAATTTACTATTAATATATTTATGTGTAATTCTAAAGTTTTTGATTGATTATTAAATAATTTTTGAATTGAAAGGAAACTGTCTTCAAATTAATTTGGTGTTGTTTTACTTGTATCTTCCCATTGTTATTTAGGACTGCAATTGATCAGTCTCATATTGGCATATGTGCATCCTGTGCAGATTGTCTCGATATAGCCTTAAATCACAAGCTTTTTAAGCAAAGACGGATAGTGGCTAGTAGTGGAATCCGAGGCGCTCGTTTTGTCCTATTTAGGACTCGTCAGCTGGATGTACCTGCCTTCATATTTGATTTTTAAAATTTATTTTCTGGAATATATATTAGTTATGTCAAAAGATGTAAAATTTTCTTCTTTCATTTACTTAAGACTTGTAAAATATTGGCAATAGTAATTACAATTGTAATAATAGAGATTGTTTTATTTTCTATAGACTTACCATAATAATCATATATTTTTAATTAAATTTGATAGAATTTATAAATAAAGTAAAGAAAGCAGAACATCTAAGAGATGCGATTGTTATGTGTAACAGAAATATGATTAAATCTTTTGAAGACAATGATATTTACTTGGAATTAATGTACAATGATAGCCATAATCCTAATTGTAACTTAATGTAGTTGAACATTAGTTAATAATAGAATTCAGGATGTGAATTTTGAATTAGTTGGTCTATATTCAGTTATATTTACCTTGATTCTACTGCCGATATTTACACACAGTTTACCTCAACTGCTTGTCGCGTTATTCAATGAATTAAGTAGTTCAAACAGTTACAAGATTATGCAAATGGCAGTGATTTTATTTTAAGGGACTTATGTCTATCTAACGGTTATTAAAAATTATGACTGATCAGTAATATCAGGGTAATCTCCTAAAGATGTACGTATGTCTGAAGATACTGATCGATCACTTTCTTTAATATCAACAAAGTGAAGATACAAACATAAATAAATTTCATTCCGTTCGTCATTTTTAACTTAAGATATCTCCGCTACGCCTCTCATTTGATCTAGCCAAGGAAAGTAGACTAAGAACAAAATTGTAAAATTTGGATACATATATAGTCAGTTAGACTTGCTGTTATTGGTTAACAGCAAAGTGAGACGTCAAACATCTACCTATTATTTAATGTTTTGCTTAGATCTACACTGAAATTTAGTATTCAAAATCGAGCACAAACTGAAGCTTTGTGTTCACGGTATTTATAGAGACTTGAACATTTCTATATAAACTATTTGTTATGATTCAAAAGGTCCTATCTAGAAGTACAAATAATTTATGAACAAGCATACGTTCGCTCTTCAGCAGCTACACTTCTCAGGCAACATGCTGTGTTTAAAACACGTCTCGCTTCACCAGCCGTTTCACAAACATAAATTACATGGAAACAACCAATGAACAGTAAAACCTCATGTCTAAACATGCCAATTAGTGGGATCATAAATATAATCTGAATTTTGTTGCTATAAATTAATAAAAAAGTCCACTAAAACTAGTTTTGTTATGTTTTAGACCAAATAAAAGAACACCTTTATTTCTAACGAAATCATGTGTCGAGAAACAACTGCCTTTAAAATTTCTTTACTGTAATTCCATTTTAAAAAATTCGAACGGCTTTGAAGTATTATGTGATTAATTTATCAAGTTAATTTCATCTGATAGCAAAAAACCGTTATTAAACTGCTATTATTATCCACCAAGAAGATTAATTCTGATCTGATAATTATAATTGCAGAACTGTCTTACAGATAATATCTAAATAGGAATGTTTAATTATCAGTGAAACGGTTCAGCATCATTTCTAAAATCACCACTCATTAAGCTTTCACTTCTGCATGTTCAACATAAAATATGTCGACATTATCTCCCTGTTATATAAAAATAAATTCTAGCCATTTAAATACAATGTCCAACAACTTTCAATATTTTGTTGACAATCTGCAGAATTTTATATACACTTTTGTGTGATTATCACCTAGGTGACTAGAAAAAATATAAGTCTAACTAAGATTTTTATTTTCGTGTGCGAAATCAGTTCAGTGTTCTGGGTGGTTACCTGTAATGTAATCCTTTTGTTGACGTTTAATTCTCTATATGACAAACAAAATTCAGTCCCACTAAAGTTTGTCCGAATAACAAACATTTACAATTTAGTAGTTAGTTTATAAATAAATAAATACTATATAACACTGTCGAAGTGCAAGATATATATGGATATTGCTCTTATCAAATTTCTAATGTATATTTTTTTCAATCATTCTATATCGAAACACATTTTTGAAGTTGAATTTATTTATAAATTTTTAACTTTTGAAAGCAAATCACATGAATTTATATCTTTTGAAATGGGCTTGTTAATGTCTTTTGTGCCTGTAGTTCTGCCTTTAATAGTAGTTAGTGCCAAATTAGGTACAACTCTATTATAGGTTTAAGATAGTAAAAGGCTGTAGTAAAATAAACAATTTGTGCACTGAAGGTTTTAGTTGAAAACAGTTATAAAAGAAGATAGAAAATTCGTTCCACTCTAGGATAAAACAGACTTACAGAATTCGCTGGTTACTAATGATTAGTTCAAATAGGCTGATTCGCCCAAAAAACCAACATAGCTTTTTTTCTGCTTCATTAAAACATATCAATGTTTCATGCTGCCCAATATCAACAATTAGTTTGCTTTAGGTCTTTTAGAATTCATCGTGGTAATCTCGTCACGTCGTGCTGCTTTGGTATGATAAAGTTTAGCCAACGTACATTTGCCTCACGCTCTACTTTAGTAATAACTGACTGAGTTCACAGATAATAGATTAGGCAAGATGACTGATATATACTCCTATTAATGTAATACCTCTGAGGCTAAAGATCCATAACCTTGTTAAGCCTAATAAATGGTCATTATTTGTTTTTATGGCAGATGCAAGACTAAACTCTCATCATTAAGGCATACACTGCGCCTCACAAATTTTAGTCACAAAATATTTAGGGATTTACCTGACTGCATCATAAAAGCTAGATACTTTGCGCTAGGAATGAATTTTTTTATAATCAGTAACCTTCATTAACTCCTAATTTGTATGCTCAGTAAAAACTAACTGAGTCGCTAAATCTGAATTTGTTGTTTAACACATAACTGATTGTTGTTCATGAATTAAGATGTAAATGTAGTCAGTATAATCACTAAAAACTTAGACCATTTTTCTAAACAAGGCATACTGCATTTTATGAAGCATACATATCTGCGAAAACATTTATTAGGCATGTGAATTTACAAATCATTCATCAATTTACGAATGATGTTCTCAGTGAGATATTTAGACTAAAACATGACAGATTGAGTTCCTTAAACATGCAAATGATAGTGAACAGGTGTTTATTAAGTAACGGTTTTATCTTTCAGGAAGTGGTATTTTGTTATCGTTTTTCTCTTTGTTCGGTCAGATATCCTTCAAATTTAATTTTCTTTGATCCCAAAACTGATGGGTATTTTGTGCTTCGCTCACGTCAGTTTTTAGATAACAATCATGAGAGCATGAATGTATGACACGAGCTTACAGAATCACCGCTTTATTAAATGGTAAGTGAATAGAATTGATCAACAAAACTTCAAAGGCTGTAAAGGTTCAAACCCTTAACCTTTTTTATTTATTTACAGCAAAAGCATCATACTCGTCGCATTTGAACGGCAATTTTATGGTTTGATTATAGATGTAATAACCTCTCTAAGTAAAAATCGAGTTAATTCTAGATATAAATGTAGAAAAAAAAACACCATTTTCAGTAAGAAGTGTAGAATATTTTCTGAAAATAAACTTTCGTCAAAGCGCAGTGAAAGTGAGACATTTTGGTTAACATACCAACTTTTATGTTTTTCAACTTTTTATTTCCATTGTAAAATAATAGACGTAGAAAAATGGGCACGAAAATACAGCTTGAAAATATGTTAATAACAGGTAAGTTTACAAAGCAAGTGCCTGAATAAGTCTGTGCGAGTTGAAAAAACATTTAAGTATGCAACAACGATCTAACAGAGCAAAAAGGACAATGATGTAAGCAAAAATTGTCATGAACCTGTTTCTGTGGGTTTTAATATTGCTACAAGA